CAGAAACAGTACTATATAACATTTTAGACACATTCTAGACAGTTTATCAGCTAAAAAAAGTTAATTTTGGGGTAAGTTACTCTTTAAAGAATTTCAACAAATAGTCAGAACTGACACTAKCTGCKTTTCCACTGACCATGAAAATGCGCAAATTAGAATTTCGAAAATACAYTTGCTCATTGGAAACACRTTGTGACCCATTTTCACCATCGTTGAATGTAGTAAACAACTTTTCAATGACATGCACTGTTAGATTTAACATGCAACATTAATGCATGGAGATTTAATGTGCTTCTATTGTGAAAGGCCAGAAAKAAGTAGTTTTGTGTTGGTGTTTAGTTGACTGGTGTGCACCAAGATGAGTCGTCCTGTTAAGCTTTATTAAATAAAACAATAGACCAACAATAGAATGATCTTTTCTCAACCCTCCTCTTTCACGACCAGAACAAAATGAGTGACTACTGTCTCCAACCAGGCAAAGAAGACACGTAGAGGAGGGAAACAGCGACACAGACAGAGGTAGAGTAAAAGAAATAAGTCAATAAATAGTTTCTGTTGCAGAAAGAGAGTAACTTCAGCTGATGGTGGTTTGGTGATCAATAAGCAGCGTTTGTACTTTTTTTTTTAAATCAGCTGAGCTGTGACGAAAAGAAAAATACTGTCAAATACAGTGATACCGGTGTACATGTTGAAAATAGCGTGATATAAAATTGGGGTCAAATCGCCCAGAACTACGTGAGCTCAGTCAAATTTACAGATACTGAGCTCAAATTGTGGTGGCAGTAGTTGTAAGTCATTCACAACTAGGGTTGGGCAATAAAATAATAATATTGCGGTAGACACATAACCAATATCAAAGAAAATACTTCATGAACTCCAATCCAGAACCACACGGCATTCTGGGGGATGTAGGCAGAAAAAAGGCTGCAGCCRCTCAACCTCTCCTGGACAAGCTGAGCAAGGCTGATTTATGAATCACAGTAGATTTTAATGAAACACTTGTTTATAAGAATGCACAACTGAATAACTCTCGGAGTTAAGATGCCCATCACAACTAAATAATCAAAAATGGCTACATCTTAAGCAGTTTTAAGATATTGAGCTCAAATGTGATGCTAAAAATTTAAATAGCTGAGAGATTTTAACACATAATCTTGGTTTAAAATTGTGGAATGAAGGCCAGCAGACACAGTGCATTTCTTCAAGGTACGCTCAGTCTTTAATTAGAGCTATGTTTATTTTCGATCCTCTCAGTCTTGAGATGGGAGAGAAGAAGATTATCTCCTTCAAATGAGAGCACTGCTTTGTTTCACTTGCGAAGCACTGTATAATCCACATTTTAAACACTTTCATCTAAACACATGACATCTGAAACCTACTACAGCTGGAGTGAATCAGCAGTAAGATGCAAGAAATGGTGTTTTCTATGTTTAATGTCAGCAGTGCAAACTAAACTGCTTTTGTTTGAGTTTGGTCTTTAGGCCCTGAACAACAACAATGTGCTGCAAAGCATTGAGCTTGAAACTAATCGTCTTAGTCACTCAGACCCAAACTCACCATTAGGCCTTTCCAGCTACTGCTATTCATCATTCAACCTAATCCCTATAAATTATTCACGTCGTTCCACAACGGTACTCCAGCGCAGACCTATTTGCACACAGTTCATGACCAGACGTAACTAATCAGTACATGCCTTCCACGCTAGTGCAGCACTTACAGAAACAACAAGAACAATTTTTTTTTCTAATTAATGAACAAATCGACTGGTAATTCAATTGGAAGAAGTTTAAATGTCGTGGAAATTCATGAGAGGTTAATGGCAAACTCTGACCCCTGTGGTATTGTGTGGGTAAAAAACGGTTTTCATGTAAATAAGAGGTGTAATTATTCCTGCGACCGACTCTTGTACAATATAGGGCATTCTGTTTCTGATGACTGCAAGTCAAATGAGTGTCAACTTTAAAATGACTCATCACATTGGTGATGCGGAGACATGATTCTTCTCCTGCCACAACCAACACATGGACCATTGTCATCAGATGAAATGCCTTTAACATCAATTTGTTTAAAAGTTTTTATATATCAAAACTAAACAGCAAATCTAGTTTCAAGCTTATTATGGCCAGAATATCTGGAGGAATTTTAGTTATGCTGTTAAAGAAAATCATCCTTTACTTTTCCAGTGTACCTTTGTGTGTGTGTGTGTGTGTGTGTGTGTTTATACATACCTTCTCCGCCCATGCCCACAGGCCTATACTCAAGAATGCTGCTCCTAGCAACTGTAAAACAAAGCACACAGAGGAGGATCTGCTGTGAGACGGGAAGACACGAGGTACACAAGTCCACCAGCAATGAATCAGTTCTGACTAAAAGAGCATCAAATTAAATGAACAAATCAGATGACAGTGGAGAGGAAAAAACATCTGCAGTTGGTTATTGTAGAGAAGTTTCACAAAACTTTCCCTTTATCAGAACTGTTTAGTTTGGAATATTTTAATTTGCCTTTTGGTAACAAAAGCAAACAACCCAACTGCCTTCTGATTCAKTTACTCCATTCAACTATGATGTAGTAGTGATACCATCTCCTTACACAGCTTCACAAAGGATTATTTGATAACATGGAGAAGAAGACATATTAGAACTCCCTCATTTTAAATAATCAGCATCTTTTTAAAACTAATGTGTAATCATGGAGACTATACAATTACTACCACAGATACAGAGGAGTCTGTTTAAAATGTCTTCACAGACCTTAAAGAACACTGCCATCTAATTTTCAAACCTCTACTTTTTCCAATATGCGGTGCCAGGAGAACATGTCAGTGTTTGAAGATTAAACCCTCTGGTGCTTCTTTGTAACATCTAATACAGAACAAGATGAACTTAATAGCATATAAAGATCACTTTCACTAAAGCTCAAGTCTGAACCTGCTGAGCTTGCGTCACCAGACRAGCACAACAATGGTGGGTTTAAACGCTCTGTTTGGAAGATAAGTAGAAACTGACTGATAAATGTACAACTGCGTCAAAACTTTTGTTCTTAATAATTTTATTAGTGTGATCCTAAGGCCCACTATCTAAAAATAAGAGATGTTCGATGAAGTTGTTTTGTCTTTACCTACGTATCTCCACAATAGGGCTGCCACGATTAGTCGATTAATCGACGACTAATCGATTATTAAAATAATCGATGACTAATTTAATAATCGATTAATCGTTTTTTT